CCCTAAGGGTCCATGTAGCCACATAGTAGCTACGTTGGCCTTAAAGTAGTCCCCATATAGGTACTTTGGGGCCAATGTGTATACTATATGAATACATGGACGCTTAGGGTAATATGGGGGCCTGAATTGTCACCTATAGTACTTTGGGGGCTCCCTATCGTAATTATAGTATAATGGACCCCAAAACCCTTTTCTAATTATTAAGGCTTTACATTACCATTACTAACACTATTCCTTAGGGTTCCTTCTAATGGTTCTAGCAGAAGAATGGGTCGTGATCGCGAGTCCTCAACCCCCGAACCCCTCGGCCATTGTAGGAAGTGCATACCTCAAATAAATCTGCAGTCAGCCATTGGGATTTGACCTTCTCCTGAGCCTCTGTGGAAGCCATCGGCACTTGGAGGTTCATGTGTAGTTATAAATGGGGTTATATGTAAGGTAACTATCATTCTAACCCATCTTCGGAGACGTATAACCCCACTTCTAGCTGCCCATGAACCGCCAAGCAGGCAATCGGTTCGGGATGGGATGGTTCTGCTTGGTACTACGACGGTTGGAATGCCGACACCGAGACTAACGTGTCCGAGGGCCGCCTCTGTCGTCGCGGGAAGCTGGGTAACCTAGCACCCTCCTTTGTCAACAAGACCTTCTACGTCTATCAGCGGCTCGATTGTTATAAGTAGGGAGGGGTTATAAGGGGTAAGCAAGCTACGTGCAGCAACATGCGAATTACATGTAATGAGCTTCCTGAATACCATCTACCATGCACGCTGATACCAGCAGGGAGCAAGCAGCCGACGTCGTTCCCCGCACTTGCTTGTACCGGGCCACCTTTAAGCCGTACATCCTAAACACCATACACCCAAAGGACAAGAACCCCGCAAGAGAAGCCCCACCCTCAACCCAACAAGGCAATCCTAGGAGGCGTTTGGGCGAAGGACGGCCGCTTCAGACCCAGGGGATTTAGTAAGCGGGTGATACCGTTGATGATATAGATCCTGCACTACCACTATGAGAACTATGGCATATTCCTTATTATTCGGAACGCAGGGTTTATATCATCATACCGTAGTGATAAGGAGGGAAGCTACGAATGTAGGCAATACATCAGCTGTAACCAGCTGTCTGTATAACCATACTCTACATATCCGTACTTCTATTTACCCGTAGAGATTTGAATCCCGCATTGAGGTATTTTGAACCATACGTTTAGCTACCTGTGGACCCGAAACCCTAAACCACCTAAACCCTAAACCCCAAGCCCTAACCCTAAACCCTAAACCCTAAACCCTAAACCCTAAACCCTAAACCCCAAGCCCTAACCCTACACCTGTAAGCCCGAAACCAAAGGACTCCTATCGCCGAGTTCCGCAAAGAGATGGACTGCCTATTCCTTGCAGGTAGAGCCTCGCCGATCTCCCTACCCTTGGTGAGGGCTTCGGGGGCTTCGGGTTTCGGGGTTTAGGGTTGAGAGCTTAGCGTCCACCCGAACTCTTTAAAAAGAGCCACTCATGTCATAATCATTGCGAGCCGTACTGCAGGAGTTTGTCCATCAGCCATTGGGAAGAAAGGTTTGGCTGTTCGGTTGAAGCACGAGAAATGCCTTTGCTCGGTAGGAGCTACTCCCTGAAACCCAAAGCCCTTAAGAGCTAGTGCATGCCAGAACCCCGAAGTCAGGGTGATAGAGGCCCAGGGTTCAGGGCTCAGGGTTGGGGATTCTAGGGACAGTGCTGTTTTGGCGTTCACTGGGGTTTCAGGGATTCTTGGTATTTCTTATTGCCACTACTGCTGCTAGGATTGCTGCCGTGATACTGCTACAAGTAGAGCTACAACAACTACTGCTGCTGCTGCTGCTGCTGCTACTACTACTACTACTACTACTACTACTACTACTAAGTTACTACTACTGCCACTATGACGACGACGACGACGACTGCTGCTACTACTACTTTTTGTATCATTATTGCTATTTCTTGTATTACATTCACTAGTATCGCTACTATTGCCATTGTTCACTAGTAGATGCATCCAAGCCGAGGAATGACCTGTAGTACACTGCAGGGCAGCTGGAGCTTTCGCGGCGAAGGTCGCAGGCTGCAGGTCCTTTTGGAGAACCCGTCGGGTGGAGCCTTGGAAGTCCTGTTCAACAAGGACTACACGGCCTTCATTATGGGTTTAGGGTTTAGGGGCCTTGGAAGTCCTCTTCAACAAGGACTACACGGCCTTCTTTATGACCCTAAACCCTATATAAACCCTAAACCCTAAACCCTCAACAAGGACTACACGGCCTTCATTATGGGATATCTCGGCTCGACGTATTTTGGACTGCAAGAAGGTCTGGCCTTCATGGCCGTGAAGCAGGCGAACCGGCTCTTCAAAGATGCCAAGAGACAGCCGCTCCTGGGCTTTGGAGTACCATACTTTAATACTTCTTCTTTGGGACCTGTTCCTTAAAGGAACCATTTGGAGTACCATACTTTAATACTTTTTTTGAGACCTGTTCCTTAAAGGAACCATGATAAAATAAAAGTCTATACCTTTTTTCTCCCTGGTTACTTCCCGAAACCCTAAAACCTAAACCCTAAACCGTCCAGGCTCTGAACTTGAAGCTGCAGATCCTTACGAAGCTGCCGTGTCGAGCCGGTACAAGAAAACCCCCGGCGCCACGTCGAGTTCCGCAGAACCCCACAGAAAGGCTGGGCCATATAGGGTCTAGGCCCAGAGAGCCCAATATTTCTTAATTAAGAAATAGACCTTAAACTACAAAGGGCTTATTATTATGATTTAAGGTATATTCTTTAATTAAGGGATATTGGGCTCTCTGGGGGGGGGTTCATAGGGTTTAACCCCAGACAAGCTGGACCGAAATGGACAAGTCATCGCCGCCGTGGTGTCTGCTGTTCTAGAACCAGACCGCTGGCCCTGGCGATGCTCCCTACAAGCGCCTTTGGTCTCAACGTGGCTCGGGTCCATTGTTTCTGGGGGGCTCTGAGCATCCTCTCGCTCGTGAGAGGGCAAAGGGCCTGTTCACGGTCGTAACCTTGCGCCATGGACTCCAAAAGTCTGCAAGGCCTTCTGATAGCTCTATGCGCACTTATACCGCGAACCGTTGTGACTCAGTTCTGACCCCATCTCAGGAAACCTAGCAATTAAAATCTAAAGTAGCTAGTGCTGCAGATGGCCACACGCCGCTTCCAGTAGTGACAAGATTCCCTTTTCTCATCGTCCGTCAATATTTTTATTTTTGCTGTAATAGGCCCAAAGCCCTATATTCTTGTTATTGCGAGGCATAGAGGCCCTCCGTGTTTACCCTTTGTCTCAGAGATCTGATTTCGGCGGGCTTGCATCGCTTCGCATGTTCGTGGTCTGCCTTGCCGCATGCCTTTGGCCCGAGCTGAGTTCTGCACACAGGCATTTCACGGCCACTTGTTCCCCAAACGCTCTTCTAATTCTCAAGGCCTCTACATTAGTTGGGGTGTTGGGAAGAGTGGAGAGGTGGTTCTGCTGTGGGTCATTATCCCTAAACCCTAGGATTAGGTCATAGCTTTGCACTGCGAAATCCTTGGCTGCGCTTGCGGATGGTGTTCAAATCCTCCGAATGTGGGCCTGCCCACGTTGGAAGGGCCTCCGGGCAAAGGAGAAGGAGTCGGAACGAGAGGCCGACGAATTGAGTAATAAGGGCCTTAATAATTAGAATAGGGTTTCGGGGGCCCATTATACTATGATTGTAATAAGGAGCCCCCAAAAATCCTGTTCTAATTATTAAGGCCCCTCCATTACTGCTTCATGCCATGAAGTTAAGGGTTCTTCGCTCAGGCTTCTGAGTGTAGAAGAGTCAAGGCACTATACCCATCTGTACGATCCATTCAATCCTGTTTGCTGTTCTATTCTGCGCAGATCTCAGTCCGACATAACACGCCTTCGCGCAGGCACGAGGAAGGGTTTAAACCCTAAACCCTCAAACCCTTCCTCGTGCCTGCGCGAAGAGGGCTTTCGGTTTCGAATGTCGGGTTTGTGCAGCTTAACTGACTGGTGGCAGCAGATCCAGAGATGCTGCTGTCTCCAGTATTGCTGATGATGTTGGTCGCAGCAGCCCATCGGAATTCAAGAATCCGAAGAGAACGCAACCTTATGTTGAGTATTGGAGGCCTAGGTTGGCGCCGAAGTAGCAGGAAAAGGTCACCCTCATCATCGATGGGGACTCTGGGGAACCATAGTAGGGGATTTGTATTTAAACTCCCCCTTAAAGCCCTCCAAGTAGAGGCAGACAGACGGAAGGGTTTGCAGTTCTCGGATCTCTGCTTCGGGTTTCGGGTTCTTCAGGGCTTGGCGAGGGCAAAAAAGATGGGTAGTCTTTGTGGCTGAAGGTGTCGCTTTCTAGCTCTAAGATCATAAAGGAAGACTCGTAATGATGGTGCCTACAGCTCCTGCACCTGCAAGACATCATGTTTGCATGTGACCCTGTGGCTCCAGCCAGACGTGCTGAGCTTCTGATCCTGTGACTGACATGTCGGTAGTTAGAGCAGACGACAGGACTTCTTGGGTGTTGAGGCTTTGATTAAGCATTATATTTGATTTGGGACCCGTTTGCATTGCGAGTTGCCCAAGTCCGCTGCAAGAGCGCGAGACGCGGCCATGAACTCGTGCGCTGGGGAGGCGGAAACTGAGCAGGAAGAGCCCAGTCAGGACGTGGGTATGCCAGGTGGGGGTTTCTGAAAATAAGGGACCCTAACATAGTACCCCAAATAGTAGGATCCTTATTATAAGGACCCCAAAATAAGGTACCCCGTATTTTCGGAAACTCCCAGGTGACCTCCCAGGCCATACGCCGAAGGAAACCCAGCGGAGCTTCACAGATGTCGGCTTCGTCCCTGTCTTTGCAGTGGCTCTGGTTCTCTTTGCCGGCTGCCTCTCTATCGCACTGGGCAGGGGAAGCTTCCAGCGACTTGTGGCCTTGCCCAACAGACACTTAGTAGCTGAGTGAGTACACTTCACTAGGGTTTAGGGTTTAGGGTTTAGGGTTTCACACTTTTGGGGATTATATGATCCCTTATAGAACTGAAAGTGTACACTTTTTGGAGCTTATGAACTCAGCAACTAAGGACAGGGCATCCTTTGTGGCACTGAAGGGCAGGGACCCTACCTCTTCTTCTGCCGCACGCTGCAAGGCGATGACGTGGATCTCAGCCGACAAACGTGCCTGAAGGAACCCGGGCATCCCGGAAAGCATCCCTGAACCCCACGGCCCCAATTACCAAACTCTTCTAAAATATCATATTATACATATACATACATATATATACATATATATATATAGTTCATAGTACCTTATGTCATACTGTGTGGCATGATATTGTTAACGTATTATGCTGTACTCCACAAAATAGATTCTTCCGAAACTGCTCCCCAGGAATGCCCCGCCGACGACAAGGTGGACGTCCGTGGCTGTGAAGTCATGGGTGCCTCCTTGCAGAGCTACCCCTCCTCTCCCGTGGCAGGGATGCTGTGTATGCCCAGCCCAGCACACATGGTCCAGGAGCCCCTGAAACACTAAACCCTAACCGGTTTAGGTTTTAGGGTTTGGGGTTTAGGGTTCCTAAACCCCTAAACCCCTCTACCCTAAACCCTAAACCGTGTTTTCGCGGAAGGAATCTCGAAAGGTGCTTCTCAGCAAGTGACCACCCCCTGGTCCCGAGGTAGAATAATATAGGGGCCTAAGAAGTTAGAATAGGGTTTGGGGTATGTTAGACGGTAATTTCAATAAGGAGCCCCCAAAACCCTATTCTAATTATGAAGGCCCCTACATTATAACAAACAGCTGGGTTGGGTCACGTGGCTGTGGATCTATCCTTAAGCCTTTGCGACTTTCCAGGACGTGAGGGTCCTCTTCTCTTCCAACGCCTACTTCAAGACCTTGCAGCTTGGACTCTATCCAAAACCCTTAACTCTAGAGCCCCCGCACCCTATCAACCCTAAACCCAAAGCCCCAAACCCTAATCTCTTAACTCTAGAGCCCCCGCACCCTATCAACCCTAAACCCAAAGCCCTAAACTCTAAACCCTTAACTCTAGAGCCCCCAAACCCTATCAACCCTGAACCCAAAGCCCTAAACCCTAAACCCTTAACCCCAGAGCCCCCAAACCCTCTCAACCCTAAACCCAAAGCCCTAAACCCTTATCTCTAGAGCCCCCAAACCCTCTCAACCCTAAACCCTAAACCCTAAACCCAAAGCCCTAAACCCTAAACCCTAAACCCTTATCTCTAGAGCCTCCAAACCCTCTCAACCCTAAACCCTAAACCCAAAGCCCTAAACCCTAAACCCGTAACCCTAAACCCTAAACCCTCAACCCTAAACCCTAAACCCTTAACTCTAGAGCCCCCCAAACCCGAAACCTGGCCCTGCACCCGCTACTTTCACCCTGGAGCCCTGGGACGCTCTGGCCTTGTGGAGCAGTCCCTGAGCTCGGGTTTTAGGGTTTAGAGTGTTAGGGCTTTGTTTTTGTTTAAGGGTTTTAAGGGTTTTAAGGGTTTTAAGGGTTTTAGGGGTTTAGGGGGTTTGGGGCTTTAGGGTTTTAGGGCTTTAGGGTTTAGGGTTTAGGGGCTTCGGGTTTAGGGGCTTAGGGTTTTAGGGTTTAGGCCGCTGCAATGAGCCTTGGGTCCCCACTTGGTATGCTTTTCAGGGGGGAGCACTCCTTGGTCTTCAACTTTAGGGTTTAGGGTTTAGGGTTTAGGGTTTAGGGTTTAGGGCCACAAACTGGCGGTAGTGCAAAACCCCTAGGATTCTGAATGAAGTTTTGGGGTCTACTTGGGGAGGCCCAGGGGACTTGGTAAGTCGGTTGTAAGTAGACTTATAAGTACCCTAGCTGGAATTACCCCAATTATAACCCTACTTATAACCGACTCACTAAGTCCCCTGGGCCTCCAAGTAGGGTTTAGGGGAAACCTAGGATTGCGAAGAAAAGGATTCAAGTTTAGGTAGAAGGTCTATATACCTTATAAGGAAGCCTTCTAGAAGCCCTATGATACCCTAAACTCCCCACCTGTAGCTTCCTTTCATCAAAAGGTGCCTTTATCGAGTTTTGAAGCTCCTTGTCTAGGCTTCCCTAGACCCTAAACCCTAAAACCCTAACCCCTAAACCCGAAACACTATTTCGGCGGGAGCAACGACATGGAAGCTGCAACCCACAAAGCTGTTTAGGGTTTAGGGTTTAGGGTTCCTGAGCTGTTCGTAAGGGATAAAAGCCATAAGCCCCCCAAAAGAGTTTTATCGTTTAGGATCCTACCTGTAGTCTCCGTTGTAGTTCCGTTTTTTTGGGTTTGACAAACTATATATTAAGGATCTTATAATGTATCCCCAAAAAGGGACTTCAATGGAGCCTTTAGGTACTATGAAGGATGGGTACCGAAAAATCCTCGATCCTCAAGGATCCTATTTTCTAGAACCCTGAACCCGCAAGACCCTCAGCCCTAAAACTCCTAAACCTTTACCGACACCTTGTGCCAGCCTGTGCAGACTTCTCAGAACCCTGCAAAGCTCTGCAGATCGAAACTATAAGCCTTAAACGCAAACCATACACCAACCCTAAACCCTGAAACCGCAAGCTTATAGATCCCCTATAGATCCCTTGAAGGATTGTTTTACGGAACAATCCTAAGGTTTGATCTCTTGGAGCTCAGCTTCGATTGGGAGCAGCCCATGCTGGCGGCCATCGTGGCTTCCTGCCTCTCCCACGCCTATCTTTTGCGCCTCGCTATGGCTTAGAAAGATGAATTATAACGGGGGGGGGGGGCGATTTAACGGATGTGGGGTTTGTAAGATGGGAGTTTCGGAGAGAAGGAACCCACTACGTAGGGGAACCGCATGCTCCTTGCGATAAGGACCCCCCACAAAGAGGAGCCCTCATTTTGCGAGAGCTCTCTTTGAGGATGCAGGATTTAGTTAGTCCTTGCCTTCAAAGGAAACTAGGCAGGCCTGTGGGATAGTTTGTATTGTGCCTTCTTGGGCATAAGAGGATCTTATTTACGAATACTTTTCAGAGGCTTTTGAAGGGCCAATCTGGTCAATCCTCGCCTCGAAAGGTAGCTGTAGCGCTCTTACTGTACCCAGGGAGCCCAGTACTCCTCAGTTAAGGAATATACCTAGGTATGGGGCTTCATATTAGGATTTAAGGTATATTCGTTCATTAAGGGGTATTGGGCTTTCTGGGTAGGGGGTGATTTGTTCCTTCCCCAGGAAAGACCAGTAAGTCAAGGCATGACCCAAGGAGTATTCCAAGAACCTGGAAGAACCACCGAGCAAGATTTTGCAACATCACGGACAGGCACTCAAAGACTCGCACTCCTCATCTCTAGATCCCAGAATGCACAAATCAAGAAGTACGCCACGCTGGAGAATACAAGAGATGCACCATGCCGCAGAAGGAGGGAAAAGTCCTTCCCTTCTAGAGGGGTCTTTGACATGATTTAACGTATTCAATGTTGCCTTACTAGCAGCTGGGCCCTCTGGGATTGTGGTTTGGGAAGGGTAGTATCTAACCCGACAGCCCGGCACCTTTCAAAACCAAAACCCTGAAACCTACCACCGGCAAACCCTAAACTTTAGGCCTTAGTCTTAAACCCTGACACCAGACAAGCCTCAGTTCTACGACCTCTTGAGAACTCTAAATTCCCTAAACCCTAAACCCTAAACCCTAAACCAATCCCCATCCCAGGTGCCTCTCGGAATCCGCAGAGGCAGTCCTCTACTTTGGCTTGGTCTTCCTGGTCGTCGCGCCGATGATGACCGGCCTGCTTTTCATGTGCCCCGACCGAGAGTAGGTTTAGGGTTGGTGGGCTTAACCTAAACCCTAAACCCTAAGCCCAGGATTTCGGAGTCTTTGGTAGGCGGTTGCAGGACCTCAGGCTCTTTGACCCTCCTCGGAGTTGCACGGCCTCGCAGGCTCAGAGCGACGTGACTAGGGTTTAGGGTTTAGGTTTTTGGGTTTAGGGTTTAGGGTTTAAGGTTTTGGGTTTTGGGTTTAGGGTTTAGGGTACAGTGGGTAAGCGAAGACAGACAGAGAGGGCGAGAGAGCGAGAGACAGACAGAGTCAGACAGACAGACCGACGGTAAATCCCCGTACCGAGGCAGAGAGAGATGGAGGGAGACAGAGAAACAAACACAATAACAAAAACTTTGCAACTAAATCTGTGTGTAAGAAGAAACCAAAGCATAAAAGCAACATGGTGTGAGAGACGCGAGAACAAACCTTAGGACCCAAGCGCCATCCCAAAACAGCAGCTTTCCAAAAACCCTTAACCCCTGAACACGAAACCCCGAACTCCTAAAACGGCAAGTCAAATTCATGCAAGCTCAAAGACGACACTCCACAGGTACCTATAGTCTCCATTGTAGTTCCTTTTTGGGGATACCTTATAAAATCCTAAATATACTCTTGGTTAAACCCCAAAAAAGGAACTACAATGGAGACTATAGGTAAACTCCTAAACCC